GATGGGCTTTCCTTTGTATGTGATTTGTTTCTTTTCTCTTACTGCTTGAAGTATTTTGTTCTTCTGTTGGGTTTCTGGGATCTTGATTATTATATATCTAGGTGTAGATTTTTTTTTATTGTAGCTAGTTGGGTTCCTATATGCCTCAGTTATCTGAATGTCAAATTCTTCCCCTCTGTTTGGGAAGTTTTCTGTCATTAATTCTGCAAACAGCTTTTTAAAGTCCTTTGTATTTTCTTCTGCTACTTCATGTATTCCTATCAGTCTTATGTTATCAGCTTTCTTGATTTAAAAAAAAACTAAGATTTTCCATCATAGGGCTAGACTAGCGTCAGTCATGGTAGATCTAGAGACCCCCCCCAACCCATACCATCAATGAACTGATCTTTATACCATTTGGTTGTACTTTGCCCTGTAGGCTCCATTCTTTAAAAATTTTGCCCAGCAGCTCTGGCTACATAGTCCTTCTTTCCTATAAAGGAATTAATGATGTATAACTTCAAAATACGCCAGAGTAGTATGTTGATTATTTCAAGCTGGAATTATATGAGGAACTGTAACTTCAGAAGGGCCATTTGTTTGTCTTTTCCTATACCTGACAAGTGATAAAGATTTTTTTGGGAGTACTGTTTTTCCTATACTGAGGTGACTTTAATGCATTAATCCACAGCACTTTCCTCTTTTACTACACCTCATAGCAGTACAAACCCATAACCTTACTCATCAGATACTGCTATTTGGGGCTATAATAAACCTGATAAACTCATTGGAATAATACTTGTCTTCCAATAACTTTTATATCTTGCCCCACATGGCACTTAGACACACACCTGGAATTTAGTATATCAGTCTAGAATTCCACTTGTTCTGTTATTCCTTCATGAATTGTCTTTTGTCTAAAAAGTATAAAGTATCTTCTTTTGTATATTTCTTCAGACATTATCCTCTTGTGTAAATCCCAATATACATAGAAACTTAATAATCTTATATGCTTTTGTCTAGTTAATCAGCCTTGTATTACATGGTTCCTAGATCCAGCCAAAGGAGCTACATAATTACTAAGGGAGGACAGAGAGTATCTTCCTTCTCTATCCTAGCAAAACCAGTAGTGCCAACTTAGCATCAAAACTGACTCTTATTGGCCTAGCATAGGTCATGCATTCATCCTTAAACCAATCAAAGTATATATAAGTGTTTCAATATTATTCTAAGTCCTTGTACATCCTGGTCTGAGCCTGGCTATGTAATACCTCTGACACTCAGGAGCACCCATTTTGGTATCTTCTCTGTGGCTTCCCCATCCTATCATTGTGGGATATCAAAAGCCAATCAGGGTTTAGAGGAGCAGAACTATGTCTGAGAATTAGAAATTCATGAGTTTTACCACCAATTTACAGAGCCAAAAATTCATGAGTCACAGAAACATGTATACAAAGACCTTGCATTAGAAGAGGTGTACACAGAGAAAGGCAAAGATACAGGGAGAAAGCAACATAAACACTGCATGGTAAGGGACAGAGAGAGACAAAGAGACACAAAACCAACAAAGACACACAAACATTGCCAGAAAGAAATGATAATTTAGAGAATTTCAGAATGAAGTGTGTGTTGGGTTATGATGGAAAATATTTATTGAAACAACAAAAAATAAACAAAACACAAAATAATTTCCAAGCCCTTGCAAAAAATGGCCAGTAATCACATAAGGATGCTCAACATTCTTAGTCATTAGAGAAATATAAATCAAACCACAATGAAACATCACTTCACACCAATAAGATGATGATAATTTGTAAGAATGTACAAAACTGGACCCTTTGGATATGACTGGTGAGTGTATAAAATGCCACAAATGCTAATCACTTATATTAGCATTAAGAGCCAAAAGTACAAGTAATCTAATGACCATCAACAGATACAGGGGAAAAAAACAGATATATGGAAAAACAGTGTGATATATCCATGCATTGGAATATTATTCAGTAATATAGTACTGAATACTGCTACAATGTGAATAAACCTTGTCAATAGTATGTTCAGTGAAAGAGGCCAGACACAAATATTTTATGATTATGATTCTATTTATAGGATATAGGCACACTAGGCAAATCTAAGGAGACAGAATATACATCAGGGGTTGCCATGGCCTGGAGAGGTAGTGGGGACTGTCTCTTATGAGTATGGGATTTTCTTTTAGGGTGATTCAACTGTTTTAGAACTTGATATAGATGGTGGTTGTTTAACAGTGGGAATGGACTAAGTGCCACTGACTTGTTCATCTAATGTTAATGATTAATATTATGTCAATCCCAAAATAGTGTTAATAATATGAATTTCACTTTAATCACACACACACACACACACACACACACACACACACACACACGAGTTCTGCTCCCTCATGTGATGATCAGTGAGATGTAGACACAGGAACAGACACATCAGCAGCTCAGGAAACAGTTACTGTCTTCCCAAGGCATCACTGCTTCACCACAGAGTCACAGGGGGAGCTCCAGATTCTGGGTGATGGCAGCAGACAAGAGAAAGAGGAGGGCTTAACCCCAGGACTTGACGTTTTCATGTAAAGGCCAAGCAGGACAGGCAGGTCAGCTAGTCAGCTAATCAGCTAGCAGGACTGGCTAGTCAGGAGAGACAGAGCCGTTCTGTGTTGGGCATGTGCTAGAGCAGCTGTGTTCAACAGCCTTGGACAGCTAATAATGTGGCTCCACAAGAGTGTAAGCCTTTTAACGTTGTTATTTTTAGTGGTAGTTTTAATGGCTCAGTTGTGCAATTTTCAAGTATGGACTATGTCAGAGACAGCAGAACACTCATGGGAGGGCACAGTGTAGAGTTAACCTTGCCTAATACATCTTCCACACAGAGTCAGTCAAATGTAAACCTCTGTATCAGAGGTTACATGTGCTTGGGCAACTTGCTGAGTAAAACACAGAGATCACCAATAATAGTATTTAAATATACCTACCTGTATATGCCTTTGAAGACAGGTGTTAATTATTATTAAGCAATCATGTAAGTTTTCTTATCTAATTATTAAAATTGGATTTTCCATTATTTCATAAAATAATTAATAAGTTAAACTACAAAAAGGAAGGCTTATTTTATATACATGAACCATATTATATATTTTATATGCAGCTCAAGACAATTCCTTTTCACTCACAGCAGACTGAGGGAGCCAAAAGATTGGACACCCATGTGCTGGAGGCTGGCTGAGAGCCCTGCTCCTCTGCAGCTCACCCTTAAGTGGGAGGGACAGAAATCAGATGGACATTTTCTTTAACCATTCATCTGTTGAGGCATTTGTAGGAAAATGGATGCAATATGAGGCCATAATATTGTGAAATACATATGACACATATATAGGATTATATATACATCATATATATGATAACTATATCACATCTATCATAAATATGATAAGTAAATAGGAAGTAAGGAGATCTTTTTTCAAATGGATAGGGGAACAAGAGATAGAGGAAGGAAGAGGGAGAGGAGGGAAAGGGGATGGAACCAAAAAGAATCAAAAGGCAAAAATATGTTGAAAATGAAGCTTTTGCAAATTGCAATAAGACCAAGAGTTTGAAAGAGCAGGGAGGAAGGGGAAATGTAGAAGTGAAAAAAAAAAGAAATTTTATGGAAAAAAAAGATGTATTATGTACATGTACCAACTCCCCATGATAAATGTGATCATTATGTACTGCAGATAGAAACTAATAAAAAATTATAGCAGCACAGTTTGTAATAGCTAAAACTTGGAAACAGCCCATTTGCCCATCATTTGGAAAATGGATAAAGAAGATGTGTTTTTTCTATAAAATGGAATACTACTCAGCCATAAAGAATGAGAATTAGATTCATTCATAGGAAAATGGATACATATTGAGGATATACTCCTAAGTGAAATAAGTCACACATGTGTAAATACCTAATAGTTTCTCTGGTGTGAAAAACTATAATGGTACATAAGGTCCTAATGATATAATTGACAATGTGAAATAGGAAGAAAGGAGCTAAAGGTGTAGGGAAAGTGGGAAGGATAGGGGAAAGCTAATAAGGGAAAAGAAAAAAACATGAGAAAATGAAAAAAATGGAAGTGAAGTGCTTGTAAAGGGGGAGGGAGGAGGGGGTCACGGGAGGGCAGGGACAAGGGGAACAAATGAGAACCAAGACCTGTCATGTAAAGGTACAAGATCCCAATAATGAATGTAACTGTACTGTATCCCTAAAATGTACCAATAAACTCAATGAGAAAAAAAAACTAATAAAAAAAACTAGATGGACAGTGAAGTGAAATAACCTTGGTGTGTGAAGAGAACTTTGCACATAGAAAGTAGAAAGTAGAACCAAAAGGAAAGCCACTGAAGTTAGGTAGACAAAGGAGATTCCCATGGAAAGAGCAACTGATCTGTGCAGACAAAGCTGAATGATGCAAAGAAGACCCCCAAGAGAGCAGGAGGTCAGTGCAAAGTTCTGAGATGGAGCATGCTTGGCACGACCTGCTCCGGAGGTCTGATGACTAGCAGAGCATCCAGAGGATACTCAGGAGGGTGCAGTGGTCAGGGCCAGAGCAGGCAGGGCCAGGAGGACCACGAATGGGAAGGGGAGGACTTTTCACCTCATTCTCATTGAGTGGGAAGGCATTGGAGGATGAAGAGCAAAGAAAGGTACACAGCTCAGGGTTGCCATTTATACAGACAGAAGTGAGGACTCAGTGTCCCTAGAGTTGGTGGCCTTGGCGACCGTGCAGCTGAACCTTCCCACCTAGGGCAGACATTGCTAATCGCCACAGGCCCTGCTCATCCCACATGAGGTTCCGATACCTTCTGCACCCAGAGCCCCAGACATACTCTGCTGATCACCCACAGCAAAATCTTGAGGGGAGCTTTAATCCACCATTATTTTCTCTCATACTTTGTCAAGGCAGGGACCACCTGGGGCTTGTCTAAAAAAGATGTAGTGACACATACAATATTTGGAGCAGACCTGGTTAGTTCTTTATTGGAAAGGGGATGCAGTCTGTAATGCGACAAACCTGAGATCCCAGGAAGATATCGAGCTGAAGTTGTAGGTGGCTTCCTGTGAGCTCATAGCTGCCCTGGAAAATGTCATGGAATTGGCAAATATGACCATGCCAACAGTTCTGGATGCTGCGGACCGCATTGAGCATAGCGTGGTATCGCTGGCGGGTGAGCCACATGCGGACCCAGGACTGTAGCCTCACAGCTGCCCAGATTTGCCGCTTGTAGAGCTCCAGCGCTTCCCACTTCTTCTTCTCCAGTTGCCTGGCTCGTGTCTGCCTCCACCAGCACTGAATGACCCACGCTCTGAGGGTGGCGTGTAGCAGTGTTCTTCGCAGGAGCGTGCCCCGCCACCAGGCCTGGATCTTTGTGCTTGCCTGTACCATGTCAGCAGGTGCCACCTTCATTGAGGAGAAGGGGTTTCAAGGAAAGAAAATGGACACTTCAGAATATATTCCCCAAAACTTCAGCCCCAGAGTATTTTAAGAAAGTCCCCCAATCCTCTGTCAATCGTGATCTCTTCCTCTGAAGTCCAAGAATTCTGTTCAGGGCAGCAGGTAGACATAGATCATCAGGAAGGATCCTACCTCTGGTTTCTCCTCTCCCATATCAGTTAAAGGACACACACACACCTCCACTGCTGTGCCTCAGGGTCCCCATTTCTAGACGTGAGCCCTCCTCCTCTTGCTACCTCACCTGGTTTTCCGTGGACCTGGTTAGCCAGTTTATAGCAAGAATCCTGTGATGCATAGGCTCTACCTGGGCCTGACCACCTATCTAGCACTCCTCACCTGCCCTTCAGACCCTCCTACCTGCTGGGGAGTAGCATCCCTTGCTCCCGCTGCCCTCTCTTCCTTGACTCCACCCCCATCCACGTTTTGCTGCTCCTTCTGTTACATCCCAATATTAAAATTTCTCTGCTCCACACGCTTTGGGGCCTTTCTCATCTATTTCTCATGGCCACTGCTTTTGGCTCCACACCTTAAACCCCTGCTTACACGCAATGCATGCACATATGTGTACACGCTCGTGCAGAAATCTGGCCTTAGCTTAGCTTCCCTTAGTCTGGCCATGCATTCCCCAAACAGCCCTCAGGACACCACTCCCAAACTTTCAAGGGCCCACTCCTCAGAGTTTCCTCTTCTGCAACCAAGTCTGCCTGCCTCAGTTATCTGCCTTTCTCAGGCTGATAGAGCAACTGGAATAAAACAGAAAAGAATAAAACAGCAAAGCGTAAGTCAATCCCTACCCATCTAGCTTTGGATAAGGTACCCCCTTGTGCAGATTGGCTGGGACATTTTTTGGTTTCTCGTAGTTATTCTGAATAATAGTAGCAACACAATTCACTCATAAATGCGCTTTGTTTTGGACCATACATTCCATGGTCATTCAATACTGTCAGCCACAGAGAAGACCATCATCAGTCTGGTGACAAGAATCAGAGATTGTAGGTCACCCTTAACCTAGGAAACCTGCACCACCTACCTGTGGCTAAGGTTGATGTTCTTGAGCCTTACCTTTTTCATTGCTCCCTTTTTTGATTTTTTGGCATCATATTTGATTATGGTTTCTCTAAATTGGACACCCTTCTGTAATCAAAGTCAAAGGAGGGAGGTTTATATGGGTTGCTCTTGGTGCAGCTCAGTACCAATTTTTAATTCTTTCCTTACCCAGCATCCATATACATAGGGCCCATTCTCTGATTAACTGTCAAAATCTACCTTCCCCTGCCTGCATTTCTGGGGGGACTGGTTGACTCAACAAGTTGACCCTTGGTTTGCAATTTGATTCCTCAAATCCCCTCAGGCTTTGATCCCCTAAGTTGCCCTTGCTTAGGGTCTAAATGGTTGCATCATGCTCAGGTCTGTATTCCTACACAAGTTGGCAGGAAGAATAGAAAAGTGGAGAGAGCAATTGTGCCATAGGATACCTATGATGCTGGCATCATGATGGATCCCAATTTCCTTTGTTGGGGAAAATGTTCATTCTTTCCTAAAGATATGCTCAAGATGTGGTTACAGAGGTAAGGCACTAGAAACACTGGTTCACTGACATAAAGGTATATAAAGTTAGTCATTTTGGTCAGGTAAAATGACATACATTAAGAAAATTTAAATATGCACCCATAAGGAATTCAATACATGGATTTCAGTTCATCATGCAGCAGAACCAAATAATGATGAGAAACAGTTTATGACAAATGACTTAACTGATGATTTATGAATGGCCCACAAACACTAGAAAAATGCCCAACAGCATCAATCATGAAAGATATAAAATCCTTAATATTAGTTTTTTTATTAAATATTGGTAAAATAATTAAGCTGTGTATAAAAAGAATCATACATCATGATCTAGTTGGGTCCCACTTAATTCATTGTTTGAAAATCAATTGATGAATTCATCATTTTTCCAGGCTGAAGCAGAAAAATGACTGTCTCAATTGATGTTGAAAAAGCATTTGACAAAATTCAATGGTTCATGATAAAAAGAAAAAAAATGCTAAAAAAAAAAATGGGCTGGAAAAAGAGCATCTGCTAAAAATCCTACAGCTAATATTATACTTAATAGTAAAGCACTCAACTGGAAAACAAGGCAAGGATGTCAGTGCTCCTCAATCTTATGTCACAGAGTGCTGGAAGTTGAGGCCAGTGCAATATGGTAAGCAAAGGAAATAAAAGGCACACTGATCATGGCGTGATTATATATGATGAAAATCCTTAGCAATGTACAAAAATTTTTTAAAAATCGTAGAATAAGTAAGTCATCAAGGTAACGGAACAAACAAAAATATAACATTTTTACCTACTAATAATAAACTCATGATCTCTAACTGAAAAATAAATTTCATTTAATAATTCTAATAAGTGAAATGCTAAATTGTAAATCTAACAGAGCATGTACAGAATTTGTATCATGGAAACTATAAAACACTGATTAAAAAATCAGAAATATGAATAAAAAGACATAAGAATTGTGTTCATGGGTTATAAGACTCAGTAAACAAGTCAATCCTGCCCACGGTGTCAACTTTCCTTCCACACTTGTCATTGAAATCTTCTTTGAAACCATCCTGATAGGGGACGTAGGTGATCTCATTGCCATGGGGGAAGGGTGGAGGTCCATGTTCCCCACTCTGCCTTGGGTGCCATGGGTCAGGATGGGGAATAGATTTTCTGTGGTGTTTGGGTATAGTACAGTAGTTATTTTCTGAATGTTTTAATCATAACAGTCTGCCTAGTTTCTGGTATTTTTGCTAGAGCATTTGTTTTGCTTTATTGTTTTGGGTATGTGGAGTCTCCTTTGTCTTTACTCATGATGTCTCCTGGGTAATAGCTTCTTCATCTCCATGTCTTTTATCAGTTAGATTAGCACAGGGACTGAAATAAGCATATAGACATTTTCATAGCAAATCAAAACAGTAATACTATGAACGTTGTCTTGAGATTAAAAATAAATCTCATGTTCTGTTTTTAAATATGTATTTCTCAAAATTGATTTTTATTGTTTTACAAAAGAATTGATCTGTGATAAATCCAACTGTGTCCAACCTGTGGCCTGCCACTTGCTTGCCCTCTTTTTTTGAGCGAAGAGGAATTTGTAGTTAGTTACATAAAAATATATAATATAGTTAATAAATATAAGTAACAAAGCTTCTTTTTTATAACTTTATTATAACTTTAAAAAGTGAAAGGGAGGAAAAAGGCAGGTGGAAGGTTGGACATGGCTGGCAGAGATCCTTAAAATGTTCCTCCCCCAGACACTTGGGAAACAGTGGTCTCAAGTGTGATCACAAAGGTGGTAGCTGAGGGAGAATGGAATTCAAAGTCATTGGAGGTGAAACACAGGTGGTTTGGAGGCACTGTCCAGCCAATGGTCCTAATGAACAATCATGCCATATAAGGGAGGAAGGGATGTAGGGATGTCGTAAATGTGCTCAGCACCCTTGGGAAGCTGCTGCAGAGGAGTAAGGAAGGAAAAGGGAGGCTCTAAGCCTTCACTCCATCATAGTTTTCTTTCTTTCTTTTTTTTTTTTTGAGACAGGGTCTCACTATGTAGTTGAGACTGACCTGGAACTATGTAGTCCAGGCTGGTCTCGAACTCACAGCGATCCTCCTGCCTCAGCCTCCCGAGTGTTGGGATTACAGGAGTGCACCACCATGCCCAGTGAAATAATCCAAAAAAATTTTTTGGGGGGGTACCGGGGATCGAACTCAGGTCCTTGCACTTGCAAGGCAGGCGGCAGCACCCCTGAGCTAAATCCCCAGCCCCAGCATAGTTTTCAAAAAGCAACAAATCAGGCAAAGAAAAGGACCCCAAGTGGGTTTGTCACCATCAGACAGGTAGTTCTCTAATAGTTGGTTCTTTCCCCTGTGGTTCTGAGGATCCAAGAGAGGTGGGTAGGGTTTTCCCTCCATTTCTGTCCTGCCTGCATCTACAGCCACTTATGCTCACTGTCTGAGCTGCACTGTCCTCATTTATGAAGTGGGGGATACCCTTGTTTTGTGGACTCTGCAGGTTTGTAGAACCAGCAAAAATACTTTTGAATGGAAAAGACCCACTGTGGGTGTGAGGAGCCAAAGGATCCCCATGAAGAGGAATCTCTGCATCTATGCTTGCACCTCAGTCCTGAACCAGCCTAGGTTGCTGCCTCCTGACATCTTATGTGGTTTCACAGGCCTCTGGGGTCCTACTTCACTTCTACTGACATCTGTGCCTACCTCTAGGCACATCATACTCCTAGAGACCCAGGATGACCCTTATTTACCTTTCCACTTCTCACTTATTTAACTTTCCACTTCCATGTATGTTGTGCAGATGGATGAGGAGGGGACTTAGGGGACAGGAGACCAATCTGGAGCCAACTCAGTAGGATCAGAGACAGTTCCTTAACTTTCAGTGGTCTATAGTCCCATGTTCTCTTATTTACATACCTTCAATTCCTTTCTTCCCTTAGGCTCTTTGTTTTGATTAGCCTTCTGCAATCAGAATGGGGTGGGAGAATGGGTGAAGACCAGCTTCTATGCAAAATCCCCAAAGTCCCTGTTCCTCACTCTGCCTAGGTCCCATAGAATCATCTGGAACTTCCCATTGCTGGTGCATCTCTCTATTCTCAGGGGAGTGAGTATGATGAACTCTTACAGAACACTGACCGCCCATGATGGTGAGAGGCCTTAGGTGTTCATCCCTTTCTGGTTGTTTCTCCTTCAACTCAAGTAGGGTCAGGAGAGGTGGTGAAAGGAGAGATGGCCATGATGTCATCATACCCCTACAGACCCAGGATGACCTCTATTTTACCTTTCCACTTCTCACTTATTCAACTTTCCACTTTTATATATGCTATGCAAATGGATGAGGAGGGGACTTAGTGGACAGGAGTCCAATCCTGAGACAATTCAGTTGGATCAAAGATGGTTCCTTAACTTCCAGGGATGCTGAAGTCAGGTCAATTGTCCCATGTTTTCTCACCTACATACCTTCAATTCCTTTTTTTCCTCAGGTTCTTTATCTTGATTAGCCTTCTGCAATCAGAATGGGATGGGAGAATGGGTGAAGACCAGCTGCTATGCAAAATCCCCAAAGTTCCTACTCCTCACTCTGCCTAGGTCCCATAGAGTCATCTGGAACTTCCCATTGCTGGTGCATCTCCCCATCCCCAGGGGAATGAGTCTGATGGAATCTTACACAACACTGACTGCCCATGATGGAGAGAGAGGGGCCTCAGGTGTTCATCCCTTTCTGGTTGTTGCTCCTTTAACTCAAGCAGGGTCAGGATAGGTGGTGGAGGGAGATATGGTCATGATGTCACAAAGGCAGATGTGACCCAAAGACTAGGCTCTCTTCTCCAGGCTCATTGATGTTGGAGGAAGAGAAAACACCTGCCTCTTTCCTTCCTGCCAGGGATGGACCAGAGTCCTCAGAGTTGGTGAGTCTGTCCTGTCCCAAGGATGACATCCCTTGCTCTAGCTCACTGTCAGGTCCATCTTTCACCAGCTACCAAGTAGCCCAAGTTGTCACAGGATCACATAGCTTTCCCAGACCATCTTGGCTTTTTAACTTTTTCATGGTTGTCTTTCATTCCACAGACATCTTTAATTTTACACTCAGGCCTTTTAACACTTAATTATAATGTTTATTTTAAAAAGACATTAATGGACACCATGTTAAAAATGTAGTCCACAGAATGTAATAAAAAATAAAAGGAAACAGGAGCCTCCTGACTTATTCCTCCAGATTCCCTCATTACTGATGTAGCCATTTAATTCTTTTTTGTATTTCTTTGTGATATACCTCAAAACATGCTGTATTGAAAATTCTTATTTTTTACTTTTATTCTCCACTGACTTCTTTCCATATGGTAAAGACTTCTGTCTTCCTTTCCACATGATGACAAGATGTCAAGGTCATGGAGGTCCAGAAAAGCCTTCTCTCTGAGAACATGCCATTCTGGGCACATGTTCTCTCTAGTGTCAAGGCAAAGACTGTAGCTGTGGCAGGTCTCAGTTGCCTCTAAGAGAGTGAGGGTGGGCTGAACCACATAATTTTGTGCTGGGAGATGGGTGTGGGATCATGTAATCTGCCATGCTCAATCCTGGTGTCTTCATTCCTGGTTATACTTCTGTCTCAGATGGTGGATGCATCAATTCCAGAGGGCAGCACCCTCTGCTCCCTTCCATGTTGTAGTCTGTGCTCTCATCAGCATAGGACTCTCAGCAAGTTTGTGTCAGAGCCACTTCTCTGAGCCAATCTTGTCTCACAAGGTCATCATCCACCCAGGCAATTCAGTAAAGTGTCTGTGAAGTCCCAGAGATGAGAACTTGCTGGGGTTTCTGAACCCCAGAGCAGTACACACTCAAACAACAGGACCCCTCTTGAGATAGCTCCTGGCCATATTTGCTCTGGGAGATTACTAGCAAATGCAGCGTTAAAAAAAAAAATGCAGCAGATTCCTCTAAAGCAAGCCTGCTGAGCAGACCCAGGTCTCTTATTTATTCAGGCTGAATATCTACAAGATACAGCCTTCTCTGCCTACTGGCTCTCTCTTTTTCACCTATACCCTCTCAGAGTGGAGACCTCCTCCCCCTTGCCCTGCCATAGTACTGGGTGACAATTGCTGATATGTTCTGTTTCTCTTGCAGTGCTACTATCCCTACTCTGTGGACGTCCAAGTCTCTGTCTCTGATGTTGAATTCCAGTGTCCTCCCATGGCCATGATCCCCCAAACAGCAACAGACCTGTTGTTTTGTTGTGTTTTGGTAGAGGAGGAGGCAGGTGCTGGGGACCTTGATTCCACCTTCTTGGCCCAGCTTCTGCCAGACATGGGGAGAAGTTGCTACTTGGCTGTATGCATGAAGGAGGAGAATAGGGTGAAAGGTATGAATAAATGTTTATTGCCCACTTTAGATTCTTGGTAGCTGGTACCTCAATTTCACAATATGTTATTTTAAAGTTTGTGATTCATTTTGGTGTGATTAACACAGTCTTACTTTTTGTATCTCCTTTTTTTCAAAACAGATGTAACTGATTGTGGACATTATTATATAATTGTTTTGCATGTTTGTCAGATTCAAAAACTCCTGATGAAAGTTTGATTAGAATTTATTTTTATTTTATTACAATATGAATTTAACTGATTAACTCAGAATACTTTCAATCTTACAATGTTAAGTCGTTCTATCAATGAACATAGTATGTCTCCCCATTTATGTGACCTTCTTTTATATCCATCTGAACTGGGCCAAAATGGCTCTTAGGACTTCAAATATATGCCCTTGAAGAGAAAGAGCAAGGCCTGGTCCTTCCTTTCTGCTGATTAGATTGTGCACAGGATAATTAAATTAGAAGCAACCATTTTTGGATCACACTTTGAGAATGGGGAAATACATGGCAGAGTAAAGGGGTAGCAGGGGCCAGGACTCCTCACCTTCTGGAGGGTCATACCAGATGTGGATCATCTATAGGAAGAAGTAAACTTCCCATTTGTTTAAACCACTGTGAATTTTGTTGTGCTGCTATTCAGTCACCTCAATCCTGATTAACTAAGCTCTCCCCCAGTGGTTCTCTAAGAGGGCCACCCAGAAGAATAGTGGCCATGCCATCATCTGAAAAATTAGAAACACACATTCATGCATCTCTTATATGGAAGCAGGAACCTGGGTAGGGATCCATGTTCTGTTTTCAGAAGCCCTCTCCCTGATGTGGCATGTGCTAATGTTTGAGAAGCCCTGCTCTCCCTATTTCTCTCTTAGATGCAACACCCACAACTGGATCTCACCACGAAAGGCTGCCCACTTTCTTTAGGAGCAGAGCAGCACAGAGGGTTTCTTGGAAGTGAAAGCTGCCACCGGTGTGCTTTGTGTGAGTGAAGCAAGGCCCCTAGCAATATACTTCTGCTGAATGTGGCGATTCATGAATGGCTGATGAGTGTCCATGGCTCCTTGCTGCTGACTCATGAATAAGGCAAAGTCTAAAAACTTCAGATTTGGCTCCTAAGTGACCATCTATGATTCAAGACACACTCGGGCCTTCTGATTTCAGATGATTGGCTGATTTGTACATTAATCCACAGCACTTTCCCCTTTTACTGAGCAGTATTACAAGGATTTTTTTTCCTCTGGACATTAAATGAGATACAATTCCACATTTAGGGTCAAGAATTGACTAGGGAATATTTTTTTTAGAAAAAAATTAATCTTGAAAAATTTAATCTTTAAAAATTACTCCCTGAAATGATGCTCACATAAAGTCCATTCTCCTTTAAGTATTTATTTATATATTGAGGTGTTCCAAATCCTTTGCTGTCTTGTCAAACTGCCTTTAATTGAAAATGGGGGTTTGTTGTCTTAAAAATTCAAGACTTCCTGTAGCAGAGTCAGCACTACCATTAGCCACTGGGTACATAAAAGGATCTCTTAGATCATGTAAAGATTTAAACTTTCCATGATAAACCCAATCACATTTCATCAAGTTGTATAGAGAGGCTACTGATTCTGAAATTCTCATTACAGTGCTCTGTTGAGCAAAAGATGTAGACATAAACAAGGAATTTCATTATAGTGGGCAGTCTGGTTCTAACGGTTGGAGGGGGAGCTACCCCACCAGGAAGTCACTAGCTTCTCATCCTACTTTGCATTTGAATGTCATCACATTAAGCAACTTAATAGACTTGTAGAGTGCCCCCACACATCATCAATAAAGGTTTTCCCTTCAAATTTACATCTACCACCTTCAGCTTATAGGGCTTCATGAACAGAGCATTTCATGTCCTTAGTTAGAGAATCATATCTAGATATTGGAAGAAAACAGAAAAATTCAGGATCCAGTCTGGTCTATAAAAAATAAAAACTCAAAGGCAGTGAATGCAACTTCAACCTTAATAACAGGTTTACTATAGTTTTCTTCTAAAATATCTACCAAAGACTGATTTGCATTCAAAATAAATTTGTTTACATCAAACTTGGCCTGATTATTCACTATTATTACTGTACTCATGCAAATAATAGTTATAGTTAAAAATATGAAGGCCAGGGATTTAGCTCAGTGGTACCAGTGCTTGCAAGGTCCTGAGTTTGATCCCTGGAACCAGAAGAAAAAAAATGTCATGAGAATTCATTATAACCAATTAATAAAGAACTCTATTTCTGTGGCATATAACATTTTAATTTAAAACCAGAATTATAACTAATAACAATGTCAGAACATCTTTGATTTCTAGGAATTTCATAGTTTCTGGAGCACTCATATCAATAACACATATATCTAATATAATTTAAAGAAGGGTTATCATTACTTATTATTTGACAATACTTCCCATAGAATATTCTAAATAAAACTTACTAGTTGAATGTTACTCTTTAAGGTCAAAAGGCTTAACTGTGAGTTTGATGTTAGAAAGTTGGTCAATAATATATGAAAATTTAAAACATCAAATTAAAATCATGCTCATTATGAAACAAAGGCAAATACAAAAAATTACATGGTTGTAAGGTGTTATGATTTAGTTCTAAAATGTCCCCAAAAGTCTTATATGTTCAGAGCAGGGCCCTTTAGAAGATAATTGGATCATGGAGGCACTATAGTAGATTAATCCACTGATCAATTAATAGCTGAATGTGCTGTTCAAAGGTTAAACCTGGTTGGAAAAGGTGGGTCATTTGGGAAAGACTTGGAAGAGATACTCTTGTTTCTGGCTCTTCCCACCTCTTTCTTCTTCCAGACTCTATAACACTCTTCTACCATGATATTTGTGCCTCTAAAACCATGAGCCAAAATAACCCCTCTTCCTTTAATTTGTGGGAGTTGTGTATTGTGTCATAGCAATAGGAGAGTCTAATACAAAAAATTGGTACCAGAAAAGTGGTGTTATTACTATGACTATAACTGATCATTAGGCTCAGAAGCCTTGGAACTGGTTTGTAGGATGAGTTTGGAAAAGTTTGGAGATGTGGGCTAGAGAAACCCTAGAATGCTGTAAATAGATCTTGGTGAATGATAAAATGAGAATAGAAACAAAAAACAGATTGGGACCCAGAAGATATAGGAATTGTTGATAGGAATGGAGACAGTAAAGGCCAGGTTCTTGAGGTGTCATTTGGGAACCAGGACTCAATTGGGAAATGGACTAGAGGCTATGTATACTATGCTTGGGGGAAAAAAATTCTACATTTTGCCTTTTTCCTAAGAATGTGGACATGTGAGTTTAAAGGCAGTAGACTAATGAATCTAGTCAGGAAATTTCAAGGCAGACTGATGTTTAAGCTGTGGTGTGGGTAC